GGGGGAGGAATCAAAGTTAATAGTTATATTCTTTTTTTTTAATTTTTTAATGTTTATTTAGTTTTGAGAGAGGAAGAGAGACAAAGCACAAGTGGGGAAGGGGCAGAGAGAGAGGGAGGCAGGCTCCAGGCTCTGCACTGACAACAGAGAGCCCGACACGGGGCTCGAACTCACGAACTGAGAGATCATGACCTGAGCCCAAGTCCGACGCTCAACCGACTGAGCCACCCAGGTGCCCCAATAGTTATATTCTTATTAGAAAGTTTTGAAAATATGGGAGGGACTAAATGAATTGAATTGAATTGAACTGAATTGGAGAATGCACAGCTTTGCAAGCAACAGACTAGCAAAGACGGCTGGATCTAGGCAGAGTTTTCCTATAATGGTCTTATAAAAGTCAGTTGGATCACTGTTGGAGATTTAACAGCCCATCTTTTTTCCCTTCTGTTGAGCATTATAGCTTAAAATGTCCTTACATTTACATATAAAAGCACAGAGGTCTAAAGTTATGTCATTTTAGCATATGGTCCTATTTCTGAAATGCTAATTTTGGTAGATATTTTAGGCAGTTAGTGCTAAAGTTGAAACAAGAAAAGCCATCACCTACATTCTACGAGTTATATTTCCCACTTAGAGTTAGTGTTTTCAAATTGCCCACACTTCATTGCAATCAACTTTTATTTTCTGTTGTCCTATTATCACTTTACTGAATCAACCTAGGAAGCTTGTATTTAGAAAGAAAGAAAGAAAGAAAGAAAGAGAGAGAGAGAGAGAGAGAGAGAGAGAGAGAGAGAGAAAGAAAGAAAGAAAGAAAGAAAGAAAGAAAGAAAGAAATAAAGAAAGAAAAAAGGAAAAAAACATCGTTGCTCCTGATTTCAGCAGCTCAGTAATCTGTCCTCTCTAATTGGATGGAAAGAAATGAATCCTGAGATAAGGGGCTAAGTCTTAGGTCACCCAAAAGCATCACTCAGCATGCATCCATTCCAGAATTTCAGCTATATCTGCACTTTAATGTAACAGTCACTGATACGAACAGAAGATATTATAAGAAGTATCTCAGATCATATCTGCACCAAGCAAATTATTAGCATTGCAGATTGATTTTTGTTCACTGAAAGATGGAAATTTTCTATTTTTTTAATGGGTAACTGCAGTTTGCTTAATAAATATTTGCAATCATTGACTAAATACCTGGATATCAACTATGTGTAAGCGACTGCTTGCTACAATAAAACAGGCTGAAGGAAAGATGGAAAGTTTATTCTCCAAAGCCCCCAAGTTTTTAAATATATTTCCTGTTTCTACCTATAAATGTTTCTTAGAGGCATCCAATCTATGTATTTTAGAATGCCATAAAAATGGCTACATTTTTGTTCATTTAGCACAAGTTCTTTGAAACTTTGGCCAAACCAATTAAACTTCTTTTTAAATTAAAGTACGTATTTCTCCAGGGGCAGATGGGTAGCTCAGTCGGTTAAGCGTCTGACTTCGGTTTAGGTCAAGATCTCACAGTTCGTGGGTTCGAACCCCGCATTGGGCTCTGTGCTGACAGTTCAGAGCCTGGAGCCTGCTTCGGATTCTGTGTCTCCCTCTCTCTCTGCTCCTCCCTGGCTCTCACTCTGTCTCTGTCTCAAAAATAAATAAACACTAAAAAAAAATTTCTCCAATGTGTTTTTTTTTTTTGGGGGGGGGGGTGTTAAGATATCTGAAAAACAAGTTTGAAGCAGCCTCCAGAAAGCACAACCTGACAACTTGAAGTTCTCAACTTGTTAGTATATACCAGCATCTGGTATCTGATGAAATGCTCACTGGGATGTTACCCTTTCCACCAAAAGTCTCAGTTCTCCGTGTACACAGTACTTCCGTGTCTAGGAGGCTGAACATGAAAAATACACCATTGATTCAGCGACAGATATTTGGGAAAAAAGAAACCACTCTAGAAAACGTATAATGGTTATAAATGTTACAATAGAGAGAAGGGCACACCTTATAATCCAGGTAATATAATATTCTCATAAACATGCATGTACATACATACATATTTTTTTCTCATAAGCATACATATATATTTTAATCTCTTTCTCTTTCACACACACATGAACACACACATCACCTATGTGGGAAAACCTCCAACATCACAGTAAATATATTTCGATCTCACATTCATGCCATCAGAAGCACACTTCTCACATAAGTGATACAATCTCACAGACTGGGTGCCATTTTCCATTCTTTAAATATTACAGTGCAAACGATAATTTCAATGTGACAACATCATGGGGAATTTACAACAGTCAGGACATTCTAAAGAGAACAGTGAAGAACTTCTAAATATCACATGTATGCACAATGCCTAGGTATAAACAGTAGCGGTGATCCTAACGTTGATTTTTATTGTGTTTAGAGGCACTTAAATCATACCACAAATGAAACTGCATTATTTTTATGTTGATTTATATAACTTTAATTATTTAAGGCCAATCATTTTCTAAAACTCAATAAAGAGGTTATATGTGACATTTTGAGGGGAAAGTTAAACATGGCTCCTAACCACAGGAGAAAAATATAAGGCAAAGGATAAAAGATAAACACGCACAGAAGATGACATAGCCATCTGTCAGCCTCCCAAAGGACATGTTGGTTTTGATGATGCTTTTTTCTGTTTTCTTTTTCAATGCTTTACTGGGCAGCATGCTGCTCAGTTAGCAACTGTCAGGTATAGGATTCAGACAGACACTACTGATAACTGCCTTTAGGTATACCTAATATATAAGCTGGTTTGTCCTAACAGATTTGGGACAACAGTTAAACCTTTAAAGCACAGGTTTAACCCCAGATAAGAATCTCAAAGCTACCCAAGATAGACTTTTTACCTATATGTACATATAGTTACATATATTTCACATATAAGGGAAAAGGTGGTTTAGACGAAATCATTAGGGAAAGCAAAGAATTCAGGTTCCAGCAGATAATGTACCAGAATAAGCTTAAACTATCCCATGAAAAGCAGCTAGAAATGCCAGATAAGGTAGAGCAGTAATTTTTTATAAGTGTATAGAAGCCTCTGTAAGAAACAGAAATCCTCAGATGCTAAAGATGAAAAGAGAACTGAAACCCTGACAGATAAGAATATGCTCTGATACAAATAATCTTATTAAAATGGGCAGAAGACATGAACAGACATTTCTCCAAAGAAAATATCCAGATGGCCACCAGACACATGAAAAGATGCTCAACATCACTCATCATCAGGGAAATACAGATCAAAACCACAATGAGATATCACCTCACACCTGTCAGGACAGCTAAAATCAAAGCCACAAGCAACAATAAGTGTTAGTGAGGATGTAGAGGAAAAGGAACCCTGGTGCACTGTTAGTGGGAATGCAAACTGGTGCAGTTACTCTGGAAAACAGTATGGAGGTTCCTCAAAAAATTAAAAATAGAAATACCCTATGATCCAGTAATCACACTACTGGACATTTACCCAAAGAATACAAAAATACTAATTCAAAGGGGTACATACACTCCTATGTTTATGGCAGTATTATTTACAGTAGCCAAGAAATGGAAGCAACCTAAGTGTCCACTGATAGACGAATGGATACAGAAGATGTGGTGTACATATACAAGGACGATCACTCAGCCATAAGAAAAAAAAGAATGAAATCCTGCCATTAGCAATAACATGGGTGGATCTAGAGAATATAATACTAAGCAAAATAGATGGTTACCAGAGGGGAGGTGGGTGGGGGGATGGGTGAAATAGATGAAGCAGATTCAGAGTACACTATCTTGATGAGCACGGAGTAATGTATGGAAGTGTTGAATTACTATATTGTACACCTGAAATGAATAGAACACTGTATGTTGTATATGTTATATATATATGTGTGTATATATATATGTATATACATATATATGTTATACATATGTATGTATATATGTACGTATATATGTGTATATATTTGTGTGTGTGTGTGTGTGTGTGTGTATATATATATATACATATATATATATATATATAAAGAATATGCTCTGATAAAAGGGCTATTCTAAAAAATAGCTATCCATTGCAGTAACCTGAGAGCTTGAGTAGTTTTTTCCTTTTATGTTGAATTAAATTTCTATAAATCTTATCTTAGAATTACAAATCTGATGTGCACATATTTTAAGTGTGTAACTTGATGAGTTTAAAAAATGTATATATCCATGTAACCGATCAAGATATAGAACATCTCCACCCCAGAATGTTCCCTTAGGCCCCCTTCCAGACAGTCTCTACATCCACAGACAACAGATTCCTATCACCATGTTCTTGAATTTTATATAAATGGAATCATAATGTATGCATTCTTTTATGAATATCTTCTTTCAAAAATGACACAGAAAGATCCAGATATCTACACATAACTATGCCTAAAGGGGCTGCTTAAACCTGACAAAACTTAATAATGACAAAGGGTGTTTTTTTTTTTTTAATGTTTATTTATTTTTGAGAGAGACAGAGTGACAGAGCGTGAGTGGGGAAAGGACACAGAGAGAGGGAGACACAGAATCCGAAGCAGGCTCCAGGCTCTGAGCTGTCAGCAGCACAGAGCCCGACGTGGGGCTTGAACTCACCAACTATGAGATCATGACCTGAGCTGAAGCTGGACACTTAACTGACTGAACCACCCAGGCGCCCCGACAAAGGGTATTCTTGAGAATGCCAATCTACACCCTACTATATCATAAAAGGAATACAGAGGATTTCAGTATCAATCTCATGTTCTGTCTCATTAATAAGCTGTTGGATCCACTTTAACCAGTGTGGATGGAGAATGGCCTCCATATCGGTCTCATCTTTATGGTGCAAGTAATTTCTGTCACACAGGTATGAATCTGTGTGCAGATATTGACTTTCTCTTCAAAGATCATAGCTTCAAGATTTGGTCTTCACGGGAGGTACTTTATTTATAGATTGCCTTCAAGCATAGAGCCTTTATTATTTTGCTAACCTGAGAAATCCTGCAGCTTGATATTTCTCACACAGGTTTGCTGGACCTTCTCCTTTGGAGCTGACGACCAGGTAGGCTTCATTCTGTTTTCCTGGGACAGATATGGAAAGGCTTGGATATCTAGTTTCCTTATAAAATATCTTTCTGCTTGATGAAGCTTTTGGCAACACCTTTATGCTTCCTCCAATCAACTACTGCACAGAACTTCCATTTAATTAATTTTCTTTCAAAATTATGAGGGTTACATACACTGCAAGCAGCCTCGAGTAGCAGGAGGCTGTGAGAGGGACCCAAGACTGGTTTCCTCTCACCCCTTCTAAAGATGGTGGTGATAACAGTGGCCTAGAAATGTTACGGCATCTCTTAGGCTCTCTGGATATGGGAGTTAGTGAATCTTTTTAAAAAGATGCCTGTAGAGAAGCTAAGATATCCAACTGTGAATCCCCACCTTCGAGATTTTGTTTTGCATATCACTGCATTCAGGTGAGTGAGTATTTGGAGCTTACTAGGTAATGATTGATGCCTACCCCGAGCAACATATAAAGCTGTGGGACAGCTGGCATCCTTCAGATGCTCCAAACAAATGAGCACAGGATTGGTAAGCTGCCCCTGCTGAGTTGTTAAATGGGGCTGTGCTAGCTTCCCAGGCTTGAAAAGAAATGCAGGCAATAACATCCTAGCAAAGCTTGGCCCACATACCAAGCAGGTGACCTTAGCTGATGAGCTCTCTCTCAGCTCCTCTCCCCATGTGAACACCTGTCAATATATGCACCTCTTTTCTCCCAGCGGTCAAATTTTAGATGTTTTAGTTAGTCTGCAATGGCCAGGGTCTTCCTTGTTCGAAGCTGCAGGCAGGATTTAATCATGGTTGCTCAGGGCTAGAATGACCTTAAAGGTCTGGTTAAATCAAGACTGCTGGGATTCAGGCTTATGCTAGGTGACATCTTAATCTAAAATGACACTGGACACCTTCTCTATCACAGCAGATGAAGGAGAGAGAAGACATTTCAGTTGGGGCAAGGTGGGAGTGGGAAGGAAAAGAAAGGTGAGCAATGGCTCCTGACCCATGCAGGAATGGAGGCATCAAGGCTCAGGGCAAGGAGAAAACAGGCCAGTCAGGACAGGGGACTGGGACAGATGTGGGGAAGGCAGTGAGAAGTTCAAGGCCTCGGACACTGGGAGATTACAGTGAACAGTGGTAAGAAGGAGCAGAACAGGACCCAGGGAAGGGTGTGGGCCATGAGCCAGAAGCAGAAGAGAGGTCTCTGAGCAGACTTACCCCAGCGGGCACCACCTTAACAGGAGGTGGCTACTGTGCAGATGCCAGAGGCCTCCCTCTTGGCCAGGGCTGTGGCGGCTGAGGAAGGGGTCAGCATTGGGCAGTCATTCATCCTTTTTTGAAGCCAGGTCTCTAGTCATTGCTGAAAAAAGAAAATAAATGAGGAGGAGCTGTGTTTTTTCCTTTAGAACTGATACGAATAACCCCATTATGTGTTGCACTAATAAAAGGAAACACAATCTAAGAGCAGCCTGTGTGGGGCTGAGGAATGAATGCTACTTTAACACATTTTGTCCATCTGTGATGCTGCTGACAATATTGGCAAAGGGTAGGTAAGGTTGGTCCACCAGCAACATGTAAACAATTGTCAAGGCATCACTACCCGCAGAAATACATTTCAGAAAGCTGAGTGGGGCTTTCACTCATTTAAGAGGCCAGAGGGAGCCAGTTTACACAATACACATGTTTTGGGAGTAGATAAAAATGGATTTCTCGGCAGGCCCCTCTCCACACCCCCAGCACCTCCATCTTGTTTTTGGTGGCAAAGAACTGCACACACCAGCCAGTCCCTCCCCTTTTGCAAAATCTGGGTCCACCCTTCTGGGTTGCACCTCCATGTATGAGCCAGTCACAGGCATATGCTCTGTACTCAAATATCCTGTTTCAAATCATGGCTGCATCATTTACTGGCTGTATAAACTTTGGATGTGCTTAATTTAAGCTTCAATTTCTTCACTTACAAAACAGAAACTATGGTACCATAAGGTCATTGTAAGAATCAAACTTAATCATTTATGTAAAACACATAAAACAGTATCTGAGGCATAAGTGCTCAATAAATATCATCATCATCATCATCACCATCGTCATCATCATCATGGTCTAAGGTCTTTTCCCCACTGAGATTATGCCTGCTCTGTATTTTTCTCCCTCAACTTGCAGGGACAGAGCTGGGGAACAGCAGCCCTATCTCATGTGCTGATACTGGTCTGCTAAACCAAGGTATACCCAAAGAACAGCATTCCAACAATACCAGAGCTAGAAAGGGACTTTTGTTTTGTTTTGTTTAGAGAGAGAGAGAGCACAAGTGGGGGAGAGCGGAGGGAGGGAGGGAGGGAGGGAGGGAGGGAGGGAG